TCGATCCTTCGAACTACAACCATCCCTTACATTTCATCCCCTATCTGTTCGCCGTATATTAGCGCGACGCTTTCCATACTGTAGCGATCGGTCCCATGGTGTAATGGTCAGCACTCTGGACTCTGAATCCAGCGATCCGAGTTCAAGTCTCGGTGGGACCTTACGATTTTTTTTATTTTCCAAAATTCGATTTTTATTTCTTTATCGTTAATTGGAATTTATAATTGATTGAAATGTTAAAGGATTTTGTATTAATTTGTGTTTAAAAAGGAGTTATGGAATAAAAAATGTTCGGGAAATAAAATGGAAGTAAGAAGGATTTAAATTTTCTGAAACGATTGTCTAAGATGATGTTAGTTTTTTTTAGTAAAGTACTTTTTTGGATTTTTAAGTCTAAGTTCAGTTTGCTTGTTAGTAAAGTCCTTATTTTAGTTTTGAAGTTCAAATTCAGTTTGCTCGTCAGTAGAGTCCTTTTATGTTAATTTTACAGTCTAAATTTAGTTTGCTTGTCAGTAGAGTCCTTCTAAAAATTATCTACTGACGCTATTTTTGTCAGTTTATTTTAGAATTTTAAATATCGTTGGTAAATTTTTTATTTAAGTTTTAAATCTCTTTTAGTCTTTTGAAAGTACTTTAAAAATTTACAGCTCGTCAATAGAGTCCTTTTTTACCTTTTAAGTCTAAATTCAGTTTGCTTGTCAGTAGAGGTCTATATCTAGTTTTAAAGTCTAAATTCAGTTCGCTTGTCAGTAGAGTCCTTTTTTAAATTTTAAAGTCCAAATTCAGTTTGCTCGTCAGTAGAGTCCTTTTTTAGATTTTAAAGTCTAAATTCCGTTTGCTTGTCAGTAGAGTCCTTTTATGTTAATTTTACAGTCTAAATTAAGTTTGCTTGTTAGAAAAGGACTCTACTGACGCTGTTTTTGTCATTAGAGTTTTTTTTTTTAGAATTTTAAAGCTTGTCAGTAGATTTTTTATTAAAATTTGAAGTCTTTTTTAGTCTTTTGGGAGTCCTTTAGAACTTTACAGCTCGTCAGTAGATTAAAATTTTGTTTTAAAGCTCGTCAGTAGAGTTCTTATTACTTTTTAAGTCTGAATTCAGTTTGCTCGTCAGTAGAGTTTTTTTTCTTAATTTCGAAATCTAAATTCGGAATTCTCGTTAGTAAAGTTCGTTTCTTTACTCTGAAGCCTAAATCGAGTTTTTTTTATCAATAGAGTCCTTTCTTTTAATTTTAAAGTCTAAATACAGTTTGCTCGTCAGTAGAGTCATTTTTATTAATTTCCAAGGCTAAATACAGTTTGCTCGTCAGTAGAGTCCTTTTTTAAATTTCCAAGTCTAAATTCAGTTTGCTCGTCAGTAGAGTCCTTTTTTAAAATTTGAAGGTCTAAATACATTTTGCTCGTCAGTAGAGTCCTTTTTAAATTTCCAAGTCTAAATTCAGTTTGCTCGTCAGTAGAGTCCTTTCTTTTATTTTTCAAGACTAAATTCAGTTTTCTCGTCAGTTGAGTCCTTTTTTAGATTCAAAGTTCAAATTCAGTTTGCCCGTTAGTAGAGTTCTCTTTCTTAATTTCGAAATCTAAATTCAGGTATCTCGTTAGTAGAGTTCGTTTTTTTACTCTGAAGCCTATATCGAGTTTTGTTTGTCAGTAGAGTTCTCTCTTTTAATTTTAAAGTCTAAAGTCTAAAAAATCGGTTTAGCCGTTTTTGAGAAAACGCCGACAAAAATGAAATATTTGTCACACATATACCTGTATTTTAAGTCAAACTTTTAGTGCCAAACGATTCAGAATGACTTCAAAACACAATACTAGTAAATCGGATTTACCGACTATGAACTTCTTATTCTAGAACCTAAAAATGCTTCACATATAATTAATATTTAGTTAAAGACTAAAATAAAATAAACACTTTATCCTTGTACTTCCCCTTGAATTTCCCTTAATTTTTTGTCCCCTAGTAATTTGAATTTAAATTAAAATCGAAACGTTACACATGTTCCACCCTTTTGATTTAAAACAAAAAAAAAATTAAACGAAAAAAAAAAAACAAAATATAAATGCGTATATGGGTATTTTTTCGCCCCATTGGCGTCGTTTCCAATATCAACAGAATGAATTAAAGGGGGGGCTAATAAATTAAGATGGGCACAGACGTTTCGGAAAACGATCCGGTTACGTTTTAATTGAGTACGGAAATAAATCCGTATATGTATATATATATATATATATATATATATATTATATTTATATAGAATTCTTTGTTTATACGTTTTGACGCTTGATATGAGTCGGCAATAACTAGAAATAATCTTAGGATATTTTTGTGTCATTTCTGAGGGAAACAGTTTCGAAACTAAATGGTTAATATCGATATTTATTGAATCGATCTTTTATTTAAATTGTGTGAAGAATAAAAGGACTCTATTCAAGAGCAACATGAATCTAGATTTGAAAATAAAATTTGGAAACTCTACTGACGACCAGGATTAAAAGTTTCTTAGTGTTCTAAAGACGAACAAATTGAACAAAAAATAATCTAAAACATAATTTTAATTCTGAATTCGATATGCTTGTCAGTAGAGTCCCTTTGTTTAACAATAGAGTCCTTTTAATTAAAAATATTATTTTTAATTTCATAATCTGCAGTAGAGTCCCTTTGTCTGTCAGTAGAGTCCTTTTTTTATTAAAAGGATTTCTCTCTCTAAAATCACTATCCTATGATTTTGTTTGTCAGTAGACTTCATTTGCTGGTCAGTAGAGTCCTCTTGTTTGCCAGTAGAGCGCTTTTTGTTAAAAGTATTCTCTTTGATTTCATGCAGTAGAGTTTTTTCGTCTGTCAGTAGAGTCCCTTTGCTTGTCAGTAGAGTCCCTTTGCTTGTCAGTAGAGTCCCTTTGCTTGTCAGTAGAGTCTTTTTTTATTAAAAATATCTCGAAAGGTCACCATCTACTATGGTTTTGCCTGTCAGTAGAGTCCTTTTGCTCGTCAGTACAGACCTTTGCATGTCAGTATAGTCCTTTGTTATTAAAAATCTACTATGGTTTAGCTTGGCAGTAGAGTCCTTATCTTCATGATAGTAAAGTCATTTTTTCATGATAGTTGACTCTTTTTTCTTGTCAGAGCCCTTTTTTTCGTCAGAATTCCTTGGCTCGTCAGTAGAGTCCTTCTTATTTATATCTTTCTTTCTAAAATTACAATCTGAAATTACAATGAAATTTACATTGTCAATAGAGTCCTTTTGCCTACGAGTAGATTCCCTTTGCTCGTCAATAGAGTCCTTTAGCTCGTTAATAGAGTCCCTTTGTTGGTCAATAAAGCCCTTTTTCTTGTCAGTAGAGTCCTTTCTTATTAAGAATAACTTACTCTCTAAAATCACATTCTACTATGATTTTTCTTATCAATAGAGTCCTTTTATCATGGTAGTATAGTCTATTGTTCAATATAATAAAGTCCTTTTTTCGTGATAGTAGAGTCCCTTTTACATAATAGTAAAGTACCGTTTTAATAATAGCAAAGTCCTTTTTCCAAAATAGTAAAGTTTTTTTTTCATAATAGAAAGGTCCTTTTTTCATAATAGAAATGTCCATTTTTCATAACAAAACTAGCTGTAAGTGGAATTCTGTCTTAAGGCAATTAAGGCATCGTGCCTTAAGGCAAATTGCTGGAACTTCCCGTACCAAAAATTATTATTTTTTTAAAAACGATTAACACTTTTGAAAAAAAAATTACTTTGAAAAAATAAGATTTTTGAGAAACTATAAATTGGACAAAAAATTACTTTTTTTTTGTTTTTTTTTTTTGAAAAAAAATTTTTTTTTATTTTGACATATTGTGGAAGATCTGAACTTTCTTTTCAAAGCAATCGTACTGCTTTAACTGCATAGGGATAAAATATAAAGCGCGTAAGCGCCGCGTCGCTGTCTAACGCATAAGCATTAGTACGGAACCCATAGGAAAATAAACAAAATTTATACTTATTGTTAAAATCTCTATAAAATATCTGATAATTTGATGAGCATATGTCTAATGATCATTTTTGACCGCCAAATAGCTCATTTTTTTACTTTTTCCTCCATATCTCCGAAACCGCTAGACCTACCTTCATGAAAATTTTATCGATTATTCATCTTGTCAATACAAGTGAAATGTTTTTTGAATTATTCAAATCGGACGCTCCGTTCTCTCAAAAACTGAGTTACCGTTTTCAGCACTTTTTGCCCCGTATCTTCGGAACGGCTAGACCTGCCTTCGCCAAAAACTAATCAGCACGTCTCCTTATCAATACGAATCGAATGTTTTTTGAATTATTCAAATCGGTTGATCCGTTTTCCCGAAATCGTCGACGAAAATTTGTATCCGCACACACATACATACACGCACACACACACACACACACACACACACACACATACATCCATTTTTTCTAAGGTATGCCAAAATGTTCAGAAACCTCTGAAACGTAAAGATATATAAAAATTTTCATTTTCGATTTTTTTGCGATTACTATAACTTGCCCTACGGGAAGTTAATTATATTTAGAAGAGTCCTTTCTCTCATCAAAGTTCTTTCTAATCAGGGTTCATTTTCCCGTCAGAGTCCCTTTTGCTCGTCAGTAGAGTCCTTTTTCACGTCAGTAGAGTTCCTTTTGCTCGTCAGTAGAGTCAAAACATCTTTCTATATTACGGACACACAAAAGACACACACATCCATTTTTTCTGAGCCAAAATGTTCAGAAACTTTCATGTATAATAACACAATGTATGGCAAGGGAATCGACGTACATTGTTCATATTTTTGTGAGCACTCCTAAATGATCAGAAAGTCCGGAAACGCATAGACATCGGATTTGAATAACTTGGTATAAATAAACCTTTTGTAGATGTTTATTAATTTATTTATTTAAGTTGTTGAATATAATTTATATTCCCATTAAAATATTTGCAAGAACTTAACCATAATACAATGCATCAATATTAATTGACAATTTGTTATTCTATCAATAAAATCATTCCCAGTACAAATAGTCACCACCAATTTGATCATGTGAATTCATATGTTCCATATCGCTCTGGATGACCATATCTTCATTTCCGAGCATCAAATTTTGGTGATTTGTCGACGAAGCTACCACTTGACCATTGTTCTGGTGTCCTTGAAAGATCGGATTGCCTTCGATTCCTTCCACATTGCCATAAATCCCTTAAAAAAAAATTAAAAACTGACACCAGAGCCAACAAAAAGAAGTTTGGTGGAGTGCGGCAAGGCTGCCACGTATATATTTACCATTATCGACGGATCCTGCAATTCTGTCATTATTTCCAAATTGTACGAAACTTCTCGTTTGTGCTATTTTTGTAGATGCTTCAAGATTCACTGGAAAGCCATTTGATGTCGAAAAGGACAAAAGCTTAATAATAAATGGAAAACAAACATCAGTTTGCTAGTTATGATATTGAACTAGTGGTATATCGATTTATTTATATGATGTACATCTACTATGTAGATATTCTCATAATGTGTAAAAATTATATAAGATATATTATTTAAAAAATGTACCATGTTTTATTTCATTTTAATTATTACTGCTATTTAACTTCTATAATTATTACTGCTATTTATTTTGTGCATTTTTATGTATATAATTGTTTTATATATAATTGTATATGGCAACGTGCCTTAAGGAAAATTGTTAGAACTTTCCGCACCGTAATTAAATTTTTGAGAAATAAGATATAAAAAAGTCGATTCTTCTTAAGAATTTCTTAACATCTAACATTTAACTTTTACAAATTTACAAGACCTCTAAAAAAAACAAAATTCCATAAAAAATGGATTTTTTGTAACTGTTCAGAATTTTTAAAACACATAAAAATTTCCAAATGAAGATTATAAATTAAATTAAATATTTATATTTAATTTATATTTATATTTATATTTAATTCAATAATTATTATTTGTTATTTTGTTAATTTATTAAATTGAACCACGAGCGCATTCTAACGAACTAATATTTAAGAATTTTTCTCAAACTATTTTTAAAATTTGAAACTTATTTTGAAAATCCTAAAAAGTTCCAAAAATTCAATTTTTTATGAAAATTCGCAAATTTTTTAAGAAATTTTGTAAGTTTTAAATATGAAATGCAATTTTTATTTTGGAATTCTTGAATCAAAACGATTTAATTTTTTGAAAATTTGGAGCCTTGTAAATAAAATCTGATTTTATTCCTCGAAAATACCAAATCTAATATTTGTTAAAGTTTTTCAAAATTTAGAGTGGAGTTTTTTTTAAAAGATTTTGAAAAATTTGGATAATTTGATATTTTTTCTTTCTGAATTTTTTGAAAGTTTTGCGATTTTTTAAAATGTTTGAAATTTTGATTTAAATTTATTCAAAATACCGTAATTTTAAATTATTATTGTTTCAATTTTGATAAATATTTGATATTTCCAAATTTTTGAGAATATTCGTTCTTTGTAAAATTTTAAAGTATTTTGAAATTTAAGAAAAATCGATCTTATTTTAAATTTAATATTTTTAAAATATTTTAAAATTTTGGATTTACTTGAAAATTTTGGAAAATTCTGAGAAATTCTGAAAATTTGTTTTTTTTTAATTCTAAATTTTCTTTAAAGTTTTGTGATGTTTTGAAATCTCTCAAAATTTAGAATTCTTTTGAAAGTTTTAAAAAAATTCAAAAGCTTGAGTTGTTTTTGACATTTTGAATTTGTTTGAATCGTTTTAAATTTTTATAAATGTAGTGCTTAATAAAATCAATTTTTTTAATTTGTGAAAATGTGCAGATTTTGAAAAAAATTCAATACTTATTAAATTCTTTCAAAAATTGGCGATTATTTAAAAAATCTGTAAAATTTCGAAAATTATTCTTTTTGAGGTTTTGTGATTTTTCAAAATGATGAAATTATTATAAATTCTTGAACAAAATCGTTTTTTTAATTTTGTTTTGAAAATTTGAATTCTTTTGAAAGTTCTGAAAGTTTCCAAAAAAATATTTTTGTTGCTATTTTGATTTTTTGTAAGTTTTGAATTTAATTTAGATGTTTGGAATTGCGTTGAAAATTGGAAAAAATCGTTTTTTTCTAATTTTTGAAAAAAATAGAACTTTTTGGAAAAAATCGTATTTTTTTAAATTTCGAACTTTAATTTCAAATTCATATTCAAAATTTCTTTTTTTTTCAAATTTCAAAATATTCTGAAATTAATTGAAGAAATAACGTTAATTTCAAGTGAAAATATGGTTTTACACTCCTTTATATCTAGCCGAAAGAGTTTGGTTCTTAAACTAAAATTAACAACAAATATAGAAAAAGTATATATAACACGTACTCACATGTAAGAAAGCAATAAATATACAATATTTCAACATTTTTTAAATAAATTATAATCAATATGTTATTAATATTTTCTATTACAACAAATTAAAATCTGTTTAAACAACTTTTCGGTTTTTATATAAACAATTAATCTTATCAATATTACTCAAGCAAATATTAAAAAAAAACTTATATTTTATTATTTCATGACTCATTAAAAATTTGCATAAAAATTGATAAAACATAATATTGATATAAATACGAAAAGAATGCTTGAACAAATTTTTAATTTGTTGCAAAAGACAATATTTATTTATGTATTGAATTTTATAAAAATGTTGAAATATTGTTTAATTATTGCTTTGATACAGGTGAGCACGTTTATATTTGGTACTTCTATGATTTTTGACGTTTCAAGTTGTTCTGAATCGTTTTGTCAAGTTAATTAAATGACACAATAGCAACTTGCCCCAAGGCAAACCTAGAACAACATTTGCATGTGATATATCAAATGAAAGAACTCGAAGAGTAAAATACGATTCTAATATTTGTTTAAACTATAATAGTTAAAAATTAATACTATTCATAATTAATGCCAACAATTTTTTTAGACAAATGTACTTCCTAAAAATTAATTAGAAAAAACAAAGACAGATAGTATTTTAAAATTTAAATTAAAACCAAAATGAATTTGATTGACTAGTCTGTAAGGGCTAACAAAGTGAAATTGTATTGTTTTCTCGCTCACTCGCTCGTTAGTGACGCATCTTTTATCTCTTTCTCTCTCACCATAATGCTACTACTTAAAACAATAATGTGCAACTTGCCTCAAGGCAAACCTCGAATACCATTTTGCATGTGACATATCAAATGAAAGGGCTCAAAGAGAAGAATCCGAATCTAGTACTCGTTTTTAATTTGAAAATTTGTATTTTTAGTACACCCACGCTCAAGCATTTTCCCAAATAAAAGACACCAACCAGACCACCATCAACTCCAACAGTGAGTTTCCTCACAATTCCGGAGATGTTGCTGTTGCAGTAAATAGCATGAAAGGAGATCATGCTCAAATAGTCGACTATTCAGGTAAAAATAGAAAAATAATAGTTACAAATCAAATTTTGGTACTAAAATTAAATTTTTTTGTGCAGCAAACGTCAACTCAATCTCTAAAACGCCAGATGTGATATCCACTAGAAAAAGCTCTAAGCAATTTAGAAACTCAAACAAGGATTCACAGGCAATGGTAAATATGCACGTGGCAGCCTTGTCACACTCCACTTGATAAGAAAACTTATGAGAAAACGTAATTGTAATGCAATTTTTAACTTTTGTTTTTGTTTTTTTTAAGATAAGAACGGGCAAGGAAATAATGAGAATCCCACAGTACAAGGGGTTCAAAACAATGTCCAGAATTATGTTTTTGACCAAAATAACCAAAATTTGGTGAAAGGGTATACCAATGTCACCAATGGATCTGGAGTTGGTAAATCAAAAAGACAAAAAGATGTTGGTAGATGGGGCCGTGATGAAGGGGTTGATGAAGATTACTGGGATGCAGACGAGGCTGCTGAAGAGGGTTACTATTATCATAATAATGACGAAGAGGGTGAATTCCCTATAGATAAATCCGTTGAGGATTTACCAGCTGAGGTTGCACCCTCTGACGATGCACCCGAAATGCCGTTGAAACCAGAAGTAAACCCAAAGATCCTGATGGTTAATCTAATATATAAAGTAGAGGTGCATGGCCTCGTTCCTTAACCTCTTAACTTAAAATGACAAATAGATAGTCGAGTCATTTGATGCAAAAAAAGGCTGTTGCCGGAACAGTACTCCGGGAATTCTAAAAATTGGTAATTGTATAGATTTCGAGGTGCTCTTTACAAAAATCAACTTTGCCACCAAATTTGAATGGCAAGTTGCCGCCATATTGGAAAAATGGCGTCAAAAAACAGCTTTTTTAAAATATCTCCTTTCTGGCTCATTCTGCGATAAAAGTATCTATGTACGAATTAAACTAGAGAAAATTTCCTACAATTCCTTAGAAAACCTTTTTTTTGTAAAATTGATAGTTTGAGAGTACGGC